CCCTCCACACACCTCCGACAGGTGCTGCAGGGTCCCAGGATTCTGGGAAGCATCCAGACATATGGTGCAGGCCGGAGCCAGCAGGGGAGACCCCGATGGGGTTAGGGTTGGGGTTAGGGGGAAATTGCGGACACCTAGCGCAGCTCCCCAGGGCCGCTAATCTGATCCTCCTCGGGATGCTCATGACCGTGAAGGTTCCTCTCTCTGGTCCCAAACACACCACCTGCAATGGACAGGACATGGAGCAATCGTCCACCACACAGCCCTGCCAGCCCTGCCACCTGGCTGCCACTGGAGCTGGAATTGGGGCTGTGGTGAGGCTGCCTCTCCACAGCCCGGCTCCAGCTGCAGCACACCAGGGCAGCCCACAGCACCACTCACCGTGGGAGGAGACTCTTTAGTGTGCGCGCAGGTACGCGCCTTTTAAGGAACGGCGCTCCCCAGTGGGCGGGGCTTATTAGCAGCTGGGGGCGTGGCCTGGCAGAGTGCCCACCGCCGGTGGTTGGGAACCGCTGTCCTAGAGCACGGAGCTCAGGTGCTGTGGGTTCTATCATCACCTTGGCAACCGGTCTGTGGTTACTTCACCCACCTTCGCCTAAGTTTCACCACGTCTAAATGGGAACGAAGATGCTTACTTCCTATGTAAAGATCTTTGAGATTCACTGAGGAAATGTGCACTGTATAATTATCATCACATTAGAATTTTCCTCATGCAATGTTAGCTGTAAACTATCAATGTGTACACGTATGGCTCCAAATCCGGGCAGTTTCACATAACACTGATTCCTGGAGGCCAGCATATTTGGGTCCTGTTGGACCAAACTAGGGACATAATTAAAGAGGCCAGAAAATAATCCTGCCCATGGCCGACAGATGCATCCAGGAACCATTACGACTGGCTGCAGAGTTTATTCAAAAGGTCATTACGGTTTACTATGAACAAAGCATTTGGAAAATTTTTTGTCAAAATGGACAACAGCTGTATGTTCCTGTGAAACTTTGTGATTTAATTAAATCAGCATTTTCCAGTAGAAAGCTGTTCTATCGGAAAGTTTTCAGCCCGCTCTACTCCATTTTAAGGCCTGGCACACACTAAGCAAAGGTTTGAGGGCTGCCATCTTACGCACGCTGATGCCTTTGGTATCCATCATGTCTCAAATGAAATAGCGCTTGGCTGTGTCATGTACATCACCGACTTCCCATTGGCCATTAACATGTGACAGGAACATTATGTTGTGCATTCTAGAGGCTAAAACAATTCTCAAATAAGTAGGCCGAAGCCATGGCCTGCCAGGTCATAGCAAATCACTTGTTGACTTTATAAACATAAAAGTGTTGTTTAGTTTTCTTGGGTAACAAAAGTAAGGTTCCACTGCTTTGTTTTGACTTTGTCGTAGCAAATAGCATAGCACATTTGTTATAGTATATTGGTGAAAAAACAATAAGATTGAAACAAAGCACTTGGATAATTTTTTGCCAAAAATTTGGGCACAATTTCTAAATAACAATGAAGTACATCTAGTATAATTACTCTTGCAGACCATGTGCAGTATTTAGTGCGTTGTGCCAAAACAGAAGGTACAATTATACTCTGCGAGCTATTCCGAGACTGATTAATGCTCTGTGTAAATTCACTGCATAATTCCCTTGTCAAAAGAGTGATGACTCTAGCCTCAAATGCATTTTAGATGGCAATTGTAGGCTGGTAGGAGAAGGAATGAACCGATGAAGTATAATAACAATTAATGAACTAAAAATTAGGTAGACTTAATTTTATAATGGCAATAAAGAGAAGCTGCTGAGTTGTACATGGAATTGCACACTGAATTAGTGCAATTAAAGCTTGGAAGGTCCATAACCAGTCTGTTTTTTCCTGCTTATTCTAGATTTGATCTACAAAATAGAACTCGCTGGTGGATTGGGAGCGATCCTTCTCCTGCTTATTTTGCTTGTGACTGTCTATAAATGCTACAACATAGAGTTAATGCTATTCTATAGACAGAATTTTGGAGGTGATGAATCTATGGATGGTAAGTAGTGTCTCAGGGTATGTCTACACTACAGCGCTATTTCGAATTAACTGAATTCGAAATAGTTAATTCGAATTAAGCTAATTTGAAATAACGCATCTATACACAAAAACTATTTGGAAATAGCGTTTTGCTATTTTGAAATAGCACGTCCACACTGAGTGGACCCAGGACTGAAGTTAAGGCTGTCCAGAACCAGTGCCGGCAGGGCATCAGGTTAGGACTTAGTGTGTGGGGCTGCTGCCTGAGGCTAACTGAGCTCAGTGCTTAAAGGGACCCTACCCCCACCCCGGACAGACAGTTCTCAGGGTTCCCCGACTGCTTGTCTACCTCAATGAGGGACAGCAAAGCAGTTCTGTCTTGGCGTGCCCTGAGTGCCTGCACTCGGGACACCACAGCACATGGCCACATGGAGCCAGAGCTGCTCCTGGGCACGCCGGTGCGTCTCGTGGGGGCA